ACAGTTCACTTAACTTTTCAACTATCTTACCGCTTTCATCCACATGCACATTTAGTTACATGGGTTGGTGTCACTCACGTTTTGCAGAGATGATCAGATCGTATTGTCAAGAGAAGACCTGATGTGAGCAGTGTGCTCAGCTTTGATAATTTCATTATAAATGTGGTCGCGGTGGGATCAGCCATAACAGTCCTCAAGTGGTGATTAATAGAAAAGATAATGAGTGATTAATTACCGTGGTGCCATCAGGGCCCATTTGAGCAGAATTCATTGACGAGACCTCTTTGTCTCAGTGCCGAATAGACACCCCCACAGAGACAGCGCCGTCTGCCTGATATGTGCGCCATCAAGGACGTCGCCACCTTCTTGTGTTTTATGTTTGTCATGGACACAGGAAGAAGTTTGTTCTGTGATTTCTGAGGTTGAGCTGACTTTCAGAGATTCATAAAAAACACTGACGTATCTGTTTGGTGACATGATGTTATTGGCCCAATTATCGTCTGTTTAAAACCCTTTAAAGAACTTACTAATCTGAATGCCTTTCTAGGAGACTGTTGATATTTCAATATTGCATTAAGATTTATGCATTTGGCAGATGCTTTTATCTGAAGCAGCTTACATTGCATTTAAGGAATTTTTGCTTTCAATGAGAATCGATCCCATGACCTTATCATTGTTAGCGCTGTGTTTCCACTGTTTGAGCTTCAGGTAGGCTTATCCATATAATCTATTTTTGTTGCATATGTCGGATGATGTATTTTAATTGCCAAATTACAGTATCATAGAATGTAGATGCTTGTTCTGAAGCTGAAGTCTTTCTTGTTCATTTATCTGAATGAGTTTTGAAGATCTGTTGTAGTGGTTGAAGATTCATAATCTTGAAAGCATTCATTGATCCATTAAACTCTGTAATGGTACATGTTACCATTGTTAAAAGATTAGTTAGCATGTGGAAAACTTGCAGAAGACTAGTAGTACACAGCGTGTTCATAGGAATTGACTGTTCACTTCAGTTCATTGAGTGCAAAGCTTCTTAGTTTGCCTGCATCCATCAGTCACTTTTGAGTGCTATAATCAAGGCACTTAAAGGCATGCACTAGTGTTCCGGCTAATATATAGGCCATCGTAATTCACAATAAGAGAGAATTTTACAAAGCATTACCAAGAATAAATACACAAGAACAAGCATTTTATTTTTATTATTATTAATTTGGATATTTTTGCTTTTATTTACAATGTTCTGAGTTATGAGTTGTTACCTCATTAAGTTAATCCAAGAAAGATAAACATTCTGCATTTTCTTGGCACTTAACTTGCTCTTGTTTAATGGTTTTTTAATGACCTGTGAATGAGTTATCATAAAAGTGAATGCACAAGTATAATATAGAGATTGTAGAAATAAAGGAAGCTGCAAGAAAAAAAATTTTTTTGCTCAGAATTTGCACTCCACTACAAAATGGCTTCACCTCATTTATAAAGAACTGCGGTATAGGGAATATCAATTGATTTTTTTTTCTCTCCTAGATGATGGAAGAGGCAACTGTTTACCCAAATATGTTTAGTTAGTCAAAGACAGTTCACTTAACTTTTCAACTATCTTACCGCTTTCATCCACATGCACATTTAGTTACATGGGTTGGTGTCACTCACGTTTTGCAGAGATGATCAGATCGTATTGTCAAGAGAAGACCTGATGTGAGCAGTGTGCTCAGCTTTGATAATTTCATTATAAATGTGGTCGCGGTGGGATCAGCCATAACAGTCCTCAAGTGGTGATTAATAGAAAAGATAATGAGTGATTAATTACCGTGGTGCCATCAGGGCCCATTTGAGCAGAATTCATTGACGAGACCTCTTTGTCTCAGTGCCGAATAGACACCCCCACAGAGACAGCGCCGTCTGCCTGATATGTGCGCCATCAAGGACGTCGCCACCTTCTTGTGTTTTATGTTTGTCATGGACACAGGAAGAAGTTTGTTCTGTGATTTCTGAGGTTGAGCTGACTTTCAGAGATTCATAAAAAACACTGACGTATCTGTTTGGTGACATGATGTTATTGGCCCAATTATCGTCTGTTTAAAACCCTTTAAAGAACTTACTAATCTGAATGCCTTTCTAGGAGACTGTTGATATTTCAATATTGCATTAAGATTTATGCATTTGGCAGATGCTTTTATCTGAAGCAGCTTACATTGCATTTAAGGAATTTTTGCTTTCAATGAGAATCGATCCCATGACCTTATCATTGTTAGCGCTGTGTTTCCACTGTTTGAGCTTCAGGTAGGCTTATCCATATAATCTATTTTTGTTGCATATGTCGGATGATGTATTTTAATTGCCAAATTACAGTATCATAGAATGTAGATGCTTGTTCTGAAGCTGAAGTCTTTCTTGTTCATTTATCTGAATGAGTTTTGAAGATCTGTTGTAGTGGTTGAAGATTCATAATCTTGAAAGCATTCATTGATCCATTAAACTCTGTAATGGTACATGTTACCATTGTTAAAAGATTAGTTAGCATGTGGAAAACTTGCAGAAGACTAGTAGTACACAGCGTGTTCATAGGAATTGACTGTTCACTTCAGTTCATTGAGTGCAAAGCTTCTTAGTTTGCCTGCATCCATCAGTCACTTTTGAGTGCTATAATCAAGGCACTTAAAGGCATGCACTAGTGTTCCCGTTTTACATGTTCTTTCTTAGTGAATTACTGTATATATAAAGTGAAGTACTGCTATTTACCACTGGGTATTTTTAAGTTACAAACTTTTTATTTTTTCTCTTTAAGATAACCATTTACCATGTTCCTGCTGGTTTGAATAAAAAAGTTGCTTTGTTTCCAATTATTAAGGAATATTTTTAATAAAAAAATTAAGCTCAACAAATTTGTTTGTGATTCAGGTGAATCAGTTGTGTTGTTTATTGTAAATCATTGCTGGAAACACTGCTGGTAATTCCATATAGAGGTAGTTACACTACCTTTCAGTAAGTCTGTAAGCCTTTTGTTTGTTTTTGTAAAACATCTCTAATGCTCTCTAAGGCTGCATTTATTTGTTTAAAAATACATTGAAACAGAATTTAAAATAATATTTTTCTATTTTAATGTTTTAAAATGTAATTTATTCCTGTGATCCCCAAAGCTGAATTTTGATACTTCAGAAATCATTCTAATATGTTGATTTGCTGTTTAAGAAATGATTCATATTAGTATCAGTTGTATAGAATGGTCAGAAAAAAACAGCATTTATTTTAAAGACTTTTAAATACATTTATTGCGTCCTTGTTGAATAAAACTATTAATTTCTTATTTTTTTCATCCGTCACTAGTGGCAATTCAATTTCTTTCTTTTGTTATAAATTCTTATTTATGTCTTATTATTAAACGTCAAACTGCCTGAAAGGATGTGATTTTGTGCAGAGCAGAGCAGTAAAGTAAAGTTTTTGGTTTACAATTTGCTTATATGAAATCCCCATTCATGAGTGTGTGTGTGGACACTAGTGTGTTTATCAGGATGTGAACATGGTACAGAATTGCTGTGAAACCAGGCAAGTGACAGTACCTCAGCAGTTGTCTTTTGTTATGTGAAACAATTAGAGTTTAACACAGCACACTTTTGTTCGTCACAAATCCAATAGCAATCAGCCTTGTCCTTGGTACCCCAATCAGCCCGCATTTAGATATCGATCGACTGTTGGTGAAGACCACTCCATGTTTTGTGTGTGTGTTTTTACTATTGATTATCCAGAAATGATAGTGGCATCACCTGCGACTTCTCCATCGCTCTGAAGTGAGAGAAGCTGATTTGGAGTGTTCTTTTAAGTACAACATCTTTCAAAGTTTGTCTCCAGGGCAGAAGGTTTTCGTTTTCTCCCTACCTGATGAAGTGTTGTTCATTATTGTTTGATGCTATTGTTGGTAATGAAATGAAACGAGACATTTAAGCAAGGCTTTGAGATCTTATTAAGATGCCTATTGAATGTTTCACTGAAAAAGTATTTTAATTGTTCCTTGTGGAGTTCTCTTATATGGAAGAAACCAGCATAGTCCCGTGTGATCGAATGCTCTATATTGCACTGTATTGATCTTTTCTACCCATGTCACACCTGCAAATGCTCATGAATGCTAACTCTCTTTCATTCACTGACATCTACACAGTCTGATTACAGATGAGAAGTTGGTATTGATAAATATATTGATTTGACCTTCAGAAGTACTTCTGACCTGGGCCGTCTCATCTCCTCCTGTAAGCACAAGCAAGGAAAGTTGTGCACCATGTGCACATGATAGATAAACTGTGTCTATCATAGAGGCAAAATAAGCAGTGTGCCATCGGTTATGGATGGGATTTTGTATGAAGGTTGTGAATTCTGCTTTTAGGGCAACCAGCCAGTCAGTGGAGTGGAGAAATTACAGGGAATGCATCATTAATTAAACTCCTCCACTGGAATACTGATGCTCACGCAATCAATGGCAAAATAATTGCTTGTCATGCATGTTGTGGCAAGAGAAATTTCCTTCCAATCTTCGCAGACATTTGATTAGCCAGGTCCTCCAAACTTTTTTATATGGAACAAATGAATTATTCAACCACCTGTTTCTGTCTGTGCTGGAAAACAGCCAAAGTGCTGTCAATGGCCTCTCTCTTTCACTTTCTGTCTCTTTCTATCATTCTACGCTTTATTCTGTTTTGCATGTTCTCCTCTTTTCTTTTCATAATCTTTTTCCTTTATCTCAAACACATCAGCATCCCTGCATACTGCCTCACAGTGTGCGTCTCAGGGAGCTTTTTGGTTTCTCTGTTTGCAATAAATATCAGTCACTGATCTTTCTGTGAGTCATGTCATTTATGCCGTCAGTCACCACTTGTAATCTTACATCTGAGATTTTGACAGAAAACTGACATCTTAGAGTTGCTTGAAATCATAAAGTTTATGTACAGATATTTACTAATGTATCATATTTTTTCCCCTCTTTCTTTCATTTCTTACTCTTACTGCTACAGCAACTGATGAGGGAAAGGCAGCAGATGGCCAGTCGCCCTTTTGCCTCGGTCGCGGTGACACTGGATTTGGGCGGCACTCAAGTAGAACTGCTTCAGGGTGGAATCGAGGTTAGTTTGGCCTTTGAACTTTGAACCAGTTAGATTTTACTTGGCTAACATTATTCAATGAAAGGTTAGTCAATATACAGTATCAAATATTCACTATATTTAGAAAATGATTTTCGAGACACAAGAAAATATTTTTCAAGAAAATTTTATTCTCTGTGGAAATACACTAGTATACACCATATACATTATATACACCAGTATTTATGGCTCTGAAATGACCTTTTTCCCCTCATGTGAAATTTTTCCAATCAGCTATTATTTCTATGTAGATTTAAAATTAAAGCAAGTAATCATCATTCATGTAAAATAAAAAAAATCATATTAAAAATAATCTAGGCATGTTTTCATCACTGTATGTATGTATGTATGTGTGTATATATAATGTACTTAACCTTTATAATTAACTTAAAGGGATAGTTCACCCAAAAATTCTGTCATCATTTAGTCACCCTCATGTCATTCCAAACCTGTATGAGTTGCTTTCTTATGTTGAACATAAAAGAAGATATTTTGAAGACTGCTGGTAATCAAACAGTTGGTGGTTGCCATTGACTTCCATAGTAGGGGAAAAAAGTCAATGGCAACCACCAACTGTTTGATTACCAGCAGTCTTCAAAATATCTT